TTTATATCATATCTGTAATATATATATATCATATCTGTAATATATTTATATCATATCTGTAATATATATATATCATATCTGTAATATATTTATATCATATCTGTAATATATATATATCATATCTGTAATATATTTGTATCATATCTGTAATATATATGTATATAATGTGGAAAATAAATATATGTATATCATATATTTTTGATTCTATAAGTATATTTATGTATCCCTATGATACAGCGAATAATATACAACTATCGTAGTATCGTTCGTTGGACGTACTAGTATACTAAATTGAATGATCATTAGCGAGAAGCCAAGGCGACGCGGGTGGTCCATGAAGCCCAGATCCAAGAGAAGGCGGCGGCGATGCACGACGTCATCACGCAGTTGAATGCAGCCAATGCCGACCTCGGTCGGTTGAAAGTTGCTCATGCGGATGCGATCGTGGCTGTCAAAGTTGCTGCGTACGACGCCGTGGCGGCCGAGCGCCGCGCCGCCCAGTCCGCTGAAGAGACCCTGCGGACGCAACTGACAGAGATGCAGGCGCGGTGCCACGAAGTTGAAGCGCAGTGCCATCGATATCAAACGCAAAGCGAAGACGATCACGTCCACGTGGCGTCCCTGCGTCACGAAATCGAGAGCTTGCGTGCGATGCTGCACACGCTCCAGTACGCCCCGTCTGTATCGCATGGGTATATGCAGGCTGGGCCAGCGCGGCGAGTGGCGGCGGAGTCTGCTTCTTCGTGGAGGATGGCGGAAAGGTTTAAACAACCTCGTCAAGGGAATGGAGACGACCCCGAGGAGAGATGCGATGCGGCGCGGGTAGAACGTGGTGGCCAACGAGTGATGTTGTCGAGAGGTGGCGAGGCTGGTCGAGGATTTGTGAAAAAAGCAACTAGCTTGGGAACGAGCCATGTTAATCCACGCGATATGCCGCCAATGCATGAACAGGACCTATATAAGCAGCAACACGAACACCAACAGGAGCGGGAAGACGACCATGCCCGGGATGTAGCAGCCGAGCCGGACGAAACAGTGGCGGCGGCGGCGGCACAGCGTGAGCTGGAGCCACTTCGACAGCACCAACAAGACGCCGCGGCGGCGGCGTTGAAAGCATCTCAGGATACCCCCCTGGACCAACAATTGAAAGCGCATAAACATGCAAAACTCGATATGCTGGAGGAACGCATTCACTTAGAGGCGAAAGACACCAACATCCAGGACGAGATGGCCCGACGGGCGATGGCGGCGCGAGTGACGGCGGAGGTGACGTGGCAGCAGCTGGAGGATGCCACGGACCAGTTGGCTACTAGTAGCCATCTAGAGCAGACGGATGAACCGAAGGAAAGTGAGCAGGCAGAGGACGATAAACCAGAGGAGGACACGACGCAGTTGAGGCACGCCGCCTTGGAGGAGGATCAAGTTCAAGCGCGAGATGGAAATGATGATCATCGAGGGGACGGAGGCGCGAGGGGCTACGACGTAGACGGGGACGAATCGAAACGAATGGACGAGAAGCAACGGGCAATGGACGCTGCTGTGGAAGGGACCGCTTGGCAGGGACAACTGGAAAACGACCAATCGAGTAAAGTGGTTTGGGAAACACACGAACAAGAACGCCGTGACGTGGCAGCACGAGCAGACGAGGCGACAGAGAGCCAAGACACCCGAAATGCACCAGACGACGCCAAGCAAGTGGCCCGACAACAACGAATCGACGACGAGCGAACAGCGATCGAAGCAGCAGCAGTTGCCGACGCTCGTGAGAAGCAGCACCAATTGAACGCTGAAATCCAAGCTAAACAAGTCAAACAACGCGAAAACGACGAAGCAGCTGCAGCTGCCAAGCTCAAGGCAGAGGACGAAGCAACCGCCGCCAAGCTCAAAGCAGAAGAAGCTGCAGCAGCAGCTGCCAAGATGAAAGCAGACGAAGAAGCAGCAGCAGCTGCCAAGCTCAAGGCAGACGAAGAAGCAGCAGTTGCTGCCAAGCTCAAGGCAGACGAAGCAGCAGCAGCCGCCGCCAAGATGAAAGCAGACGAAGAAGCAGCAGCTGCTGCCAAGCTCAAAGCAGAGGAAGCAGCAGCAGAAGCAGCTGCCAAGCTCAAAGCAGAGGACGAAGCAGCAGCCGCCGCCAAGATGAAAGTAGACGAAGAAGCAGCAGCTGCTGCTAAGCTAAAAGCAGACGAAGAAGCAGCTGCAGCTGCCAAGCCAACGCCGGCCAACGACTCGAGTATCATCGACGAGTATCGGCAACGGGCGGTGGTGCGACGCGCAGAGAAGCTTCGACTGGAGCAGGAAGCCAAAGCGAGGGAACAATTGAAGAAGGACGAGGAAGAGATGAAAGCGATCAAGGAGCGCGAGGACGCAGCAGCAGCAGCGGCACTTGACGAGGTACAGAACGAATGGATAGATGTGAAAAGGAATAATAGGGGAGATGTAGCAGGAACGGGCGTCGGAATCGGGCGAGTCGGTGCTGTCTGTGGGGGGAGTGGGGGGCGACGACAGGTATGTGTGGATGAGGAAATTTGGATATGTAAGATCATTCGTAGTGGGGATGGCAGTGCCGATTCGTTTTAGAGGCAATCAAACATGCCCAAGTTGCTGCTCTCAGAGGTCGTTATTGAATAACAATGCACCCTACTTACTGTGTGTACACCAAACTATCCATTATCGTCGACATGTGACAAATCTCGGCCAAAGCTACACGTATACTTAAAAGTATTACATAAGGCAAAGAGCAATGATGCGTGAAGTGAGCAGTAATCCTGTCCTCACCAACCAATATACATGTATAAGATATATGCAACCCCTAGGCGGCGAGATTACGTCCCTCGTGCCAGAGTTATTCTAGAGTTAAGTAGCCGCCTACTCTAGTTATGCGCCACTGCCGCGGGCGTGATGGGCCTGAAAGCTCGGGTCTCGGTTGATTGGGTTGGCAGACAGATTTGCCAACGCGTGGCGATACTTTTGAAACTTCTCGGCGGCCTCCTTTTCCTTGTCCGTCAGGTAATACAAGCAGTTCTCGCGGCTCCGCTTGCTGATGCGGACGTCCGGCGACGCCACCAAGTAGCGCACACACGTGGCAGATCCCATCGCGAGCCCCAGCGTCACCATGGCCACCAACGGGATATTTTCGGGGTCCTTGAGCAAAACTCGCGCAATTGCCCCCCCCACGTGCATGCTCGTCGTCGTCGGTGAGTTCGAAATGCTCCCACGATTTATAAAGTCTTTGGCCAACGGTACAACGTCGGTTGCCCCCCCGTCCCAAGCCCCGGGGGTGCTCGACAATATCAGAAGCCCCTAATATTTATTTCCGCTATAAACCCGATCTCAAGCTGTACATGAGAATGTTTCGACTAACGTTAGAATGCTTATCGTGAAAGGAGGCTGATCACACCACAAACTAGCTAGCTAGCACTTCAGTGGCCCCGCTTACAGATCGTGGATTCTAACCCGGAGAAATATTATACAAAATTGTCCTGCCTAGAGAACAATATGCATCAAAAGTCCGTTGCCCAACCGATCGTACCACGCCCCCATGTCTCAGTTGTTATTATAATGCGACGTGGTTACTGTCACAGTTATTCGCCTTGATGGGGCCGCACGGCGCGTTTGAGCCGTTCGATCTGGTCCTCGATGCTCTGGCCGACACATCGGCCTTCCGCCAGCGTCGGCACCCGATACACCCCCACCTCCCCCGTCGAGTCGCCGACCACCAGCACGGGCGACGACGGCGCGAACGAGATGCACGTGCAGTGGACGTCTTCCTTGGGGAAATGGGTCACGATTGGGTCAAGTACAGACTGTTCCAAATCCCAAATCTCAATGCGCCCGTCTTCGGTCACGCTGCCAAATATGGTCGCGTCGTTGGGGCACCATGCGACACCGTACACACCGTGGCACAGGTCCACCTGTCAAGTAGATTGTTGGGGGGTGGATTGTGAATCAAAACGAAGGGCGACGTCTCGACTTACGGATCGAAAGTTGAGCACTTCGTGCTGGTCGGCCTCATGCCACAGCTTGACGGTCCAGTCTGCAGAGCAACTCAACAGCAGCTGGTTCCAGAACGGCGACATGTGGATCGCATACACCGCCGCCGTGTGGCCGTAATATGTCTCCAAGTACTGTTCGTTGTACGAGCACGAACATTTGTGGATGTTGCCGTCCTCTGAGAGCGTGCCACGTCACCATCTCACCCATATATATATATATATGAGTATTAGTAGTACCTGTGCCGACAAAGTACACGGAGCTGTCATTCTGGGCAAACTCGATGCAGTTGCCACTGGCTTGTCGCGCAATCACGCCGTCGATGCGCGCTTCGGACCCCATGAGCGGGTTGGGCACCCTCTTGAGGGTCATCAAGTCGGAGAAACTCAGTCCTTTCTTCATGCTCCACTCAGTCACGCGGCCGTCCGACGACACGCTCACGATGCTTTCGCCGCGCTCGCTTCCTTTGTGCACCCACTTGACCTGTCCATATCCACGATATATAGTGTGTTTGGGTTGTCAGAATGCAAACACGTCATGGACACGGTACGTACCTGCCACACAACGTCCAAGTGCGACCCGCTGTGGCTGTCACTCGACAGGATCGGCGCCGCGTCGTCCTTTCGCGTGTCGAACAATGCCACGATGCCGTTGTGAAAGCCCACGGCGAGCAAATTCGGATGCAGCCGGCTGAAATCGATCGACGTGACGCCGCACCCGAGTTTATACACGCGCTCGGGGTACTCTGGGTTTTTGAGCGACCAAAACAGCACGAGCCCGTCCGACTCTGCTGCGTCAGCGTCAAATTGGCCATACGACACGGCCAACAAATCGTCGTTCACTGGGTTCCACGCCTAACCAAAGTATATATATATATATATATTATATATCTCGAGTCATTGTACATCCAAATAACTGAAAGCCCCATCCATGGCAGGACACTCTCCCCCCCCCAGTCAGTCAGTTCGTTTGTATTTGTTTACGCACCACACAAGACACGGTCCGCCCCGCCGTAAGCGCGCACGAGAACCCCCATAGCTTCTCCAACTCGTTCGACTTGTCAAACACATTGACCATCGATGACGACAAGCTGTTTCCCCCTGCCCCCAGCCGCGTCGGTTGAGAAGCCCCCGACGACAGCCGCGGAAAGTTGCGGTACAGCAGGTGTCGGTCGTGATAAAAGTTCTGCTGCACGGCGCGCTCCAGCACTTGAAGTGTCTTGAGCAGACCCGTGGACGCCAGAACCTCCTGCGTCTTCTGCTCGGCGATGATGTCGGCTAGATCGACGTTCGTGTTGGCGGCGGCGTACGCGTTGTTGGCCCCTTTGCCGTCGGCCGAGTTGGACCCGTCCGAGTTGGCGCTGGACCGCGAGATGTCGGCGTGGCTGCCGCTGATGATGTCGCCGCTGGTCACGTCGCTCTGCGACGAGGACGGCTGGTTGTTGTTGGCTGCGCTGCCGTTGACGTTGGCCGAGCTTCCTCCCCCTCCGATCGTCGTGGTGCTGCTGGTGCTGGCACCTGCGATCGCCCGTGAATTGGTCACCGTCCTCGACGTCCCACGCACCGCTTTCGAGTCTAATCCGCCACCAGGTGTTTGCGTGAAATCATCATCGGTTCCTTCCCCCAACAACTGGAATATATATACGCACCCCCACTTGCTCCAACATGATGATGTGACGACGAAGTGGCGGTGGGCTTGTGCCGGGAAGACGGCTGCAACGCGCGTTGCCGCGCCTTGAGGTCCCCCAGAAGCTCCGCCCCGTCCGTGAGCAGCAGACAGCCGGGGGACGCCAGAGATGCGCTCACGATTTCGTCCACTTGTTTGGTCAGTTGCACGTCCACGTTTTCAGCGTCGACCGCGGCTTTGGATTTGTTGGGCGTGGTGTCGAGGGCGGCGTCGTCGTGGTCGTTGCCAGACATGTCAATGTCCGCTTGAGTGCTGCCACAAGCATGATGTCATAATGTCCGAGCTCGAATAAACACATCACATATTGGTTCCTTACGAGTCGAAAATATCCCAGTTCGTGGCACTGCTCGCGGCATCGCGGGTCGCCGGGGGAGCTGTCATGACCTCCTTGGTCTTTTGTGCCAACTGCAAAGTTTGCGTGCGATTCTCGACGTAACTGTCGCTGCCCCGCTTGCTGCCGCACATCTTGCGCTCCATCAAGTCACAGTTGTACTATTGGAGACTTGCGTACCTCCAAGTACTTTCGGTTCTTGGCCACAACGATGCCATGGTCGGGGGTGTCTTGGCCGACGCAAATACTATGCCACTCAAACAGCATCATCGTCGGTGTCTCTGTGAATCGAATGGTCACGGGGCCTTGAACTGCTTTGGTCTCTCCTCGCCCCGTGATGCCTGGTCGGCCATCCCTACAAGCCCTCAGACTAGACTGCACCATATCCCAGCCATATTCCACTCACAATTCGCTTTTGGGTCGTAGTCCTGCAGTGGAGGTCGTTGCGTCCAAGTGGCCAGAGTCGTCGATGCCCACCAGCCCGTCGCCGTCACCATCGTCCGACGCCTCTGTTTTCTTGGCCGATGCCACAGGCCCCGCGAGAACTTTCATCGATGGCACCCCCGATAGAATGGCGTCCAGAGACTTGCCCGAATCTCCGCCCGCCGACGACCCGCCTTCACTCTCTGAAAACACCGAGCTAGTGGATGACGCCATCATGGACACCCCCGACGTGTTGTCGGGCGTTTTCTTGGCCGCCTTGGCTCGCTCCCGCCCGGAAGCAGCTGCCGCCGACTTGTCGGAACCCTTGGTTCGAGTGAACAGCAGCGACTGCGGCGTCACATTCATCCCATCTAGATACACCTGCGTCGCCTGGTTGCCGCCGCCGCCCCCCGCGTGCATGCTGCTGCCCGCGATTTTGCTGGAGGCGCCGACTAGTCGTGAGTGCGACGAGCTAGTTGGGTCATTGTTCTTGGACACACGGGAGCGAGAAGGACTCGCGGCGATCTTTTTCGTCGACGAGCCCGCGGTCGCCGCCTTGGACGTCGCTCGTGCGTTGCTCATGAAAATCGAAAGGTCGCGAAGTATATATATTGTGCTTTGCACCTTTTTTGGCAATTCCAGGGTTAAATTCATTGTTTAAAAATTTCTCAGGCTTAAATAATGTCTAAAGTAACTTGAATAACGGTTGGGTGCGTTGCTTAAAGTTACTTCATCTAATGCGATGATTGGTTGGTTGAAGGTGGTTTTACTGGAACTTTCGTAAAACAAGTTGTTTGCCGTTTTCATTCTGGCAAACAACTTGCTTTACGTCAACATGTCAAGGTGCTTGACGCAATGAAACTGAAGGAGCTATGGCCACATACATGACCTCCCATCCGTGATCACTACAGTACTAACATTACCTACTCCGAGTAATGTATATAACATTAGGGATATAGTTAGGCTACAGTACATGTAGTCGTCGCTCTGTCCAATGATTCAAAGCTATGCCATACCTACAATTCTTGATCTGGTCTAACCAGAGCACTGTACGTGGAAGGCAAGGGCGCACTACGACAACACGATGTATAGTACTCCCATTTCACAGCCTAATACGGTATGCATCGTGATGAACTGGTTGTTGTACGGCGTAAGTTGGCCTGGTGCTGCAACTCGATTAGTTAGCAGCTGAAATAAAGTAAGGGTTGTTTTATTCTGCTGAAATGCAGAACTTATGTTTAGCGTTGTTTTATCTTCAATCGGGCTTATATTATTTTAAACGTCTGGTTGTTTAACGCAGTTAAACAACGGGCAAACTACATGAAAAGCACAATAAATAGTATGCGTAGGTCGAGAAATTAATTCAAGCGAGGTACTATCCGGATTCACTGCCGACGATTCGATTTCCGGAGGATAAACTCGTAGTCAGGAAATCTCAGAGGAAACACAGTGTATTTCTACGTGGTAATGACTCCCATTACATATTGATACCGTGGTGTATATGCAATGTGGCTGTCAGATGCAGTGGCTTGCTCGCGTGAAACAATTTGGCTAAATTAACCTTGCGAATTCCAAGTGGTTGATACCGGTAGTATAGTGTATGTATTTACTACAGTAAGTACCTCGAATGAACGCGCATTTGGTCGAATGTAGCGGTATGTAACCGTATCCAAAAGGCACTTCAACGTGGAATCAGAGTTTGAAACTACCTTTGCAGTGCAATTTACTCAATGTACAGTACAGTATAACGTGCTGATATGTTGGCGTTGGAGCCAGAATGCCTATCAATTTGCTTCCACTTGAAACGAAGCTGCGACATGGTCTCGGCTTAGAAATGCACATCAAACCACACAGCACTGTAAAGTACCAATGCGGTTGATAGATAGATATCCATAGGTCATTCCTTTCAAGCGTCCTCACAGGTTGCTACTTGTATTTCGTGCGTTCGTGTACCAAACATTCTTTTCAATTCGCTTCTGTGCGTTCAACTACATGTACTAACAACTAGTACTACAGTACTACGCATTGTAGTCGATACGTTCAATATCAAAGTGCTGACCTTTCTGGTACATACTAGTACTGCCTTTATCAATCCATACCCACAACCGACGTACGGTAATCATTCCGAAGTAGCTTTCGCTTGGATTGTCCAACCTGAGATCCCACGTTGACACCTTGGGCGATGGATGAGACCGCGTCGACTTGACTACGACAACGCAGAGTGGGCTCTGGGCCATCCAAATCGAGTCAATAGCACTAAAGTACCAGCTAGACCAACTACCTACGACGACATCGTTCGCAAATGAGCTCACCCGGCCAACCTTCCATTTTCTAACTATTCCCGCATTTAGCACTGCTGCTTGTTGATTCCACAAGGCGCTGAGAAGGTTCCCTTCGATTTGAACCTAGCAAGCTTCGATTCCACGGTTTGATGGAATGATGTGCAGTGTACTAGTATGTCCGTACTGTATGCATATCATTTGCATCCATCACCACCGATCGAAATGGGGCCACCAATCCTCCTCCTACTGGATAATAAATACACACTACGAACTAGTCCAATCCTTTGCCTTTATATTTTCACGTCCACCTTTTTCCCCAGAATCCGCCGATGGGCTGCGTAAGCGTCGTGGGCGCGGGGGATGTCCCCACTAGCCACACTCTGCAAGGCGATCTTCCGCGCGAGGTCCGCGTCTCGTGGGGCGGCCACCGCCGCGCGTTTGTTGTACGCCAGCGACGCTTGCGTGCGCCCCATGGCCTCGTGCAGTTTGCCCAAGTTCCGGAGCACCGACGCGTCACCCGGCATGAACTTGAGCGCGTCTTCGCAGTGGGCCAAACTTTCGCGCAGGTTGCCCCGCTTGGCTTGCACCACGCTCATGTTCAAATGGCTGGGGCCATAGGTGGGGGCGGCCGCGATGGCCGCGCGGAATTGGTCGAAGGCTTGGTCTAGCTTGCCTTGGGCCAAGAGCGACAGCCCCAGCTCGTTGGCGTGTTCATGGGTCGCTTTGTTTGTCAGGAGGGCCATGCGGGCATGGCGATGGTACCCCTCCATGTCCCCCGATGCCTTATACAGCACGGACAGGTGGTGCAGCGCCTAGAACAAGGACGTTTATGCATTTAGGATAGCAGGATACATGAAGTCAGCACGTGCATCTTCGTCGGAAGGATTCCGTGCACAACGGGACTGATAGTATGCAATTGCTGCTGCTGCAGGATCGAGCCGAGACATGGTGCTACAGTACTAGAATTGAATCCCACGCGATCTAAATTTAGGTCACGTCACGATTAATTGGTCGCATTTGACCTGCCACAGTGCTGGCCATTTTTCGATAGTAGACATGACGTGGCGTGTCAGTATTTCAAAGGATGCGTATCCGTGGATAGGGGGGGCTGTGTGTGGCCCGTGGGCAGAGGAATGTGTGGTCAGCGATGGCGGCGCCGTGAGCTATGTATGTTCTTGTCCAGCAACGAACGGACGGCCCAGCTTTGCCGTGTAAAGACACCCCCGTTAGTCATGACCTTGCGTTCGACTTTGCACCTACTCGAAAGCTGGCACCACGAGAGAGGTTCACTGGCCCCATTCGATTTCTGACAGAGAACGGCGACGACGTTTCGATCCGGAAAGATCTTTCGAACAGAACACAACGATTCTCTGCAGCTCCACTTTGGCAACTTTAGCTAGTGCGATGTAGAACAAGACCACATGCTTGGAGAGTTCTTTGGTCGTTTCACTTTGGAAAACTCTCAACGCGATCGGCGTGCACCAGTGTTGCTCAAATTCAATCCTGCGCCCAACATAGCAAGGCATCGCCCCCACTATCTCCCGAGTATAGTACACTACCCCACACCACCCCCACCACATTATCATCATCATCCCCATGCTTGCGATGCTCTCCAACGATTCCATGTACCACGCCCCGTTGTCGCCAGGACAAACCTCCACGGCTAGTTCCGACTCGAGCGGGGCGGCGAGCCAACGCGGCTTTTCACGCATGTTGCATGGCTCGGACGCGGTGCCGTCGTGCCACGTATCTCCAGAGCTCAAGTGCCAGTACAAGACGGGCACGTGTACCAACGAGCGCACGACGAAAAAGAACGGCAAGTTGCTCATGCTGTGCGAACTGCACCGCAAGAAGCAGAACGAAATCAAGAAGCGCAGCGACCGCAAGCAGAGCGCCATGCGCATGAACCGGCGGCTCGAGGCCAAGCAGAAAGCCATGGTCGATCCCCGCCAGGACAAAGCCAAGTCGTTCAAACAGCGGGTGCCCAAGTTCGAAGAGCTCTTGTCGTGTGATCCAAGCCACATGTGGGACCACCACAGCCATCACCAATACTACCACGACTCGTCGGCGGTGACCCTGCCTCGGGTCAACGTCTGGCGCACCAAAGACGGCATCGCCACCAGCATACCTGGTCTCCCCCCCAGAGCATTTGCCTTCCCAACCCCCTACTCCCCCTCGGGCCACCTATTCGATTGGAGCGTGGGGCCGCAGCAGCTTGCGACGGGGAACGTCACTCCTCGAGGCAACGACCTCGCCATCCTCGAGTTCTTTCTCGACGATTAACGAACGACCTCCCTCCACCCACTGTACTAGTCTAGTATCCCCCTGTAGTCATCGAGCTTGTGTTTCCCGCTAATTATTAATTGCATCTCGAGTAGTATTAATAACTTGTTAGTCCCCATTCCAACTTTACCGGTCTTAATTGGGATATACTGAAGCGTTGGAAGTACACGAACGATGCAAACTAAGGATTTATTATTGTGAGGGATTTGTGATAGCCAACTACTCCCTGCAATATACAAACTCCGAAGTGCCCACATTGTACAGGGGCGGGGCTACTGTAGACTTTATGAGCGAGTGAATAGTGACAACTCCTTCCAAGGCTCGTACATACAATATATATATATTTATATATATATAATATATACATGACAAATGAAGATATTTGTTTCAAGGATTGGATGGCTCAACTACTCGTAAGTCGATTCCTTAGTGAATACGTTACCAAATCAAGTACTATTACTACGTAGTAGTAGACAGAAGCAAGCACATCATTTACTCGGCAGGGTTTAAATACATATTTTTGGGCTAGGCTACAGTACTACAACTACAACTGTAAAGGAGGTGGTATACAAGGACGGTTCTACAGCGGCGCGTCAGCTACTATTCATACTCGTCGTAGTCGTCGGTGGTTGGCATGGTTAGGCGGCGCCGTTTTGCAGACGGCTCGAGGGCGGACGGACTGGCTTGCATGTGTTGAGCGCGCAGAAGGACAAGGGCGAGCGACGGACACTGCTCAATCTCGAGGCGGAACCCGTCTTCGTCAATGAGCTGGGCCATATTGTCCACAATGTGGTTCACACAAGTCTCTTTGAGGAAGCCAGCGTTGAACTTTTCCGCGGCGTTCAGCAGCTTGACGCATGATTCGTTGTTGACGAGTTCCTTGGCTTGGATTTCGCACAAGTCGCGCAGTGGCCGCATGAGATACTGGTCACCCAGCGACAGCAGGTCAATCAATTGCTAAGGGAACGAACGACGTTATATGCGACACTGTGCCAGGTGTTCCGTAACGTACGGCGGTCGTGAGTTTGGCCAAGTCGTGCACGCGGTTGGTGTAGATGAACTCGAGCAGCTTGGCAACCATGTCGGGGGAGTGGTCCCGGATGAGTACGGTACCGTCTTCGCTCTCCTTCATGCCAGCTTTGGCTTCGGCCGGAAACATGCACCGAAACACTTCGCACCGCGTAGTCAAAACGCACTTGTGCGCTCGCAGTTCATCTTCGTTTGGCCCTACTTTGAGCACCACGTCGCAATTCAGGCCGCTCTAACGCAAGCCAGCGTTAGCGCCGCGACAGGACAGAGACAACGCCATGCTCGTACCTGGAGCATCCGCTTCATGGAGTGGAAGAAGTCGTCGTCGGATAGCTTTGGCGCCATCAAGATGGGCGTGTCCCGCCGGTGCCGCACCTGAATGATGTCGTTCTACTCGGTGGTGAATGCAACGAGGGCCCAAACTCGTTGTACCTTTTGCAAATGGACAGATTCGGGGCATTCTTCGGGGTCCAAGAGGCTCTGTGGTAGGTTCGTTAGTGTACGAGGGTATGAGATCCGCCAACCATGAAGAAGAAGTCTAGACATTCGCGCGGCAAGCCATGGTGCTTGCTGTAATGCCGGAAGAGCGACGAAAAGCGCTGGGTCTTTTGCATCAAGCACGAGTACATGTTGTTGGCGGGCACTCGAATGATGGAACGTTCGCTGCCCGTCAAGATGAGATCTTCAGACGCCTACGATGAACGTACATCAGGGCCATCTATACACAAGGAAAGGCTTGACAGATTGCAGCATTACCTTGACGGTGAACTCGACGTTGTCTGCTCGGACGCTTCTGTTCATGGCGATGATGCTCCGATAGTGGAATGGCCTCGTGCTGTGTGATGCCGCACGGATACTGTACGCCAGGGTCAAGATCGGTCGAAATTTTGGCCAATCAAATCATGGTATGTTCCCAGATGCTGGTCGATATTTTTAAAAGCCAATGGGTGTTATTCTTTTAATCCTTGGGAATAAACTTGAATTAAGTATTAGACACTGAACTCTTAGCATACACTCAGGGAATTCAATACCAAATTTTCCGTTCGTTTTCGTCGAAAACGTTGGGATCGATTTATTAGCCAATCAACATGCAGTATTGACGGTGTCCACTCCCATATTTTCACCAATCGGTGCTTTTAAGACTGATCCCGTGCGGTTTTTACGATGACTGGTCAACGTAATCTGATTGGCTCAATTCGTCGCCCTGTTGAAGTTACGTCGACAACACGAAATAGTGTTAATTACATACACTATTTAAGTCACCCTGCATGCGAATATGCAGTCAGTCCGGCACAATCACATACACTATTTATGGATGGTGTAGGTGGCGCTTCAAAATTAGCGACCGTCTTGTGACGCATTCTCGGATTCACGTGCACATGTGCAAGCACGAGCCCGCCGACGCTAGTCCTAGCGATGTGAAGGCGCCTGATCAAGCAGTGGAGAAGGCCGTGCACCCTCGCGCAGAATACGAGAACGTCGCTACGACCAGTGACAAGGTCAAGGGCATCGTGTTCATCCTGTCGTTGTTCTCGGCCACGTTGGCGATGGGGTACCTTGTGATTGTGCCGACGGCCGTGGTGGTGGCGTTCGTGTGTCCAAAGCTCGCAGAGTACATCTACCGCGTGCTCTTGGGTCACTTTTGCGCGTACTCGTCTGGCGTGTTCGAGTACTTGAGCGGCATGGAGGTCGTGATCACGGGCGAAGACGGCGAAACGTTTCACTTCAACGACTTGGACCGTGTGTTCCTCATTTCCAACCATCGCACTGAAATCGACTGGTTGTTGCACTGGTACGAACAACATGCAATGCATCCGAGGACGTCCATCCACCCTCATCGTCTCAACGCCGTGTGGGATGTACGTAGGAACTTTGCGACGAAAATCCACGCGCACGACCGCATCATGACCATGCTCAAAGCCGGGTTGCGCCAGATTCCCATCTTTGGGTACACCCCTCCCCCTTCTCCCCTCATATTCCGCCTTGTGTTCCTAATTCCGACTTTCATGTTGCTTCGTACAACGTAGCGGTGTCCTGCAACTGTTTGGGTTTCCGTTTGTCGAGCGCAATTGGGTCGAAGATCAAGCCAAACTAGGTGCGCTCATCGAGTCGTATCACTCGCGGAGCTACGGCACATGGATGGCCATGTTCCCCGAAGGCACGGCGCTGTACGACAAGACGCTGCAGGCAAGCCATGACTTCAAAGCGGCCAACGGCAAGCCCCGGTGCGATTTTGTGCTGGAGCCGCGGCTCAAGGGCTTCGACTTGTGCGTCGACAAGTTTCGCCCCGATTACATCCTCGACATGACGATGGCGTTCCCAGAGCTCCGGCGCGGTGTCCGTCCGTCGCCGCTGCGCCTCCTCCAGGGGCTATTCCCCAAGTCCGTGCACTTTTACGTGCGCAAGTTCACGCTAGATGATGTCATGGCGGCCGACTCGCCCAGCGCGTGGCTTCAAGACCGATTTGCCGTCAAAGAAGAGATGCTCTCGGCGTTTTACCAGGCGCCCGACGGCCGCTCGTTCGACAAGCCTGAGGTGCCGCTGCCCAAGTCGAAGCGGCCGTTTCTGATGGCTCTGGCCCTTGTGGTCACGTCGTCGTGTGCGCTGCCAGTGGTGCTCTGGACCGTCCCGTACTCGGTCACGTACTTGGCGTTGGTCGTGGCCTTCATGGTCTGGATTAGTAAACGCTAACGTGTACAGTATTAATAATAAGAATATAGTATTGTCCTATTCACTCATGACTCGAAGCACAATTTTATACCATACAATGTATACCATACGAAAATTGAATATAACTAGTTCAACTGGGACAAATGGGCCAAAGCCTTGGCCGACTACCATTGGTTGGAATTTAGGATTGAAGCAATTTCACTGGCTAGTCGATTGCCTGTGCATCGAATGAATACCATTGTCTTTTGACCCAAAATTTGGACTTTTTTGCTGATTCGCCAAATCTATCAATTCTTTGAGCTGGCTTTTTTATTAATATGTAAAAATCGAGTGATATCGTACTAATTTCAGTCACACACTAATTCGATGTTGAATTACGCTCGATGAGAGGGGGATTTGGTTGGCTACTTGATTAGTGTTCTGGGTTTTGATTAGTCGATGGATTGTGTGTCGATTTGGTTATTCTGCTCATTCACATGTCAATTGAGCACCCCACTCCAATTTCGAAAATATATCGTGATAACGTTACTGGAAATCGAGAAAACAAGTTTTTGGCCTGGGCCACAATACGTAACGGTATTCACAGCTTCTTTTCGGCCTAAGTGTGCCTGGCTCCATATATTTCCATACAAATAGGCCGGTTGGTTTACCTGGTACTGTAAATTCTATTAACGTTAACGTAACGAGGCAATTTATGGACACCTTTTTTGTCGAAGATAGCTCGAAAATATGTTGCAAATGTTGCAAATTTTATCTATTTTTTGATCATTTTATATCCCCATAAAGCTTAGGTTGTGATCGAATGGAACTTGTTCCATCAAGTTTAAGGAGGTATTACAGCAGTTAGGTGGCTTTGAAGTATTGAATGTTCATTGGATGATACGCCAATTTATGGACAGGGTACATTATACTTAATTTGACTATACTAAAAGTTCGTTCGATTCGAAGTTTTCCAATGGAGACAAATATAAGATTCCACAGTATATATAATAAATCAAAGGATATAGAATTTAAACGACAAGTCAACTCTACAGTCAATTACAATTCCACCATTTCGACCACGTCGTCCGGAATGAGACATCCTGACCACCAAGTAGGCTCAGAAATGGTACTGCGTCTCAGGATCCTCACCATCACTACATCTATATTGAGTGGATTGCAATGTCGTGGTGGCTCTGGTGGGCCAACGCGGTGGAGGAAGAGGTCTTGGTAGCACCCATCGCAAAGTGCTAAAGCCGCCACTTCAACTTGCGATGGGTGCCACCAAGACGTCTTGCGCCCCCGCCCGCGCAACCACGTGATCACACCGGCAGGGAGATGTACGGTACCGACACGGGCTGGATGGTGGAATGAGGGATGACCAATTTCATTGGTCATCCCAAGTGGTAAATTGAGACCTGGTAGAATTGACCGAGTCCTGAATACCACATCACATGATCTTGCTCTCATACACAGCCTACACAATTATCTAAATGCTCCTTGCATCAACAGCCATCACAGGAGTAGAATGTATCGCAACAAGGCGTGATGAGGCATGGAGCGGTGTATGCGGCTACTCAACCCGTCGATCCTGGGCTGTCCCGCCCTCCACCAAGTCGATGCGATGATCAACCAAGCATTTGGTCCGACCTTGGAATCGGAACGTGTGCGCGCCAAGCTGCTGCGGTACCTCCGTCACATATTGGACCAGGGCCAATGCTCGTACTCCGGAGTATTCGATCACGCCGTAGGGGTCGCCATGCGAATTCCAAAAACAGACAGACACATGAAAAATAAAAATCAAGAATACAAACTTGAAGATATATTTAATTGAAACTATACAAAAAAAGAAATACTAGTGGTACAATTTATACTGTTTTAAAATCATACAATTTCAAAATTATTTATGGAATTCGCAAGGTGGTTCACCTTGCGCAGCATACAAAATTGCCTATTTCACCTTGCTTTTTCTGTTTAATGAGCTTCAGATTTTCGCACGATGGTGCTCGCGCCTTCGCTACTGTTCGGATAATTGATTCTCTTTGAATTTATTCTGTGTGCGATATTGGGTTACAAAAGTATTTCAGTATTCGAGTAAGTTGAACTTGATTTTGATTGGCTCGTGCACCCTGTCCATAAATTGGCGCATGTCCATAAATTGACTATGTAGTTACGTTACTCGATCAATTTTTCACCCATCGAAAATATGAACTGTAGCTTCTGTTGGGCTTGTCCAGGTCTATCGTTATTAGGGCTTATTTTCCTAAAAAATATCAATACAAAGTTGGAATAGCTGTCGAAAGAGAAGGCATTTTTTTGTAATCTTTAGATGACTTGCACCATACCGCTAAAGCGGTGGTGGTAACGTTAGTTGTCCTTATTGTTAATAATGTCATCATACTATGGGCACCGTAAGCACGTTCGCAAGAAGGAGACCAAGTCCAGAGGCACCTGTTGGTTCTCGTTGCACGGCCCTTGACAGGCGTCGCCAGCAAACACGAGGTGGAGGATGGGGCCGCGCGTCTTGAGCAGAAAAGGATATATCCTTCTCGTAGTACACGTCCATGAGTTGCCGAGCTATGACGAACGACGCGGTGGCTGGGGGTGTTTTCGCAGAGTTGCTGCAGAACGACGACACGTAGCCACGAACTCATAGTTCCAGCAACTTGTCGTTTATTTGAGTTTGTTGGGCAGGCAACGAAGAGGGCGAAGGCGCGGAGTGGTCTTGGGGGCGCTGGTGGCTTCGGAGATCTTCCAGCGATCGAAGAATGAACAAGAGAATCCATGCTTGCATTGGTGGCATATTGGTGGTAACTCGATGTAGGTGAGAACAACGCACTCGGCGTGGACGCGTTTAAGCGGATTAGACGAGTATCCAATTCCAAGAGGAGGTACTGTAGTGGATGGAGGCAGTTGTCCCAGATTTGCACGGCTGGAGGCGCCACCAGTGTCTGCACGCGTCTTCCTGCGACGGATGTTCGATGCAAGTGGACGGCGAAGATGACGGAGCCATGTACATACCTCGATGGACTGTGGTTGCTGCTGCCTGTGGATTTGATTTGACGCTGGACCGCCGCCGACTGCGCCGTTTCACAAAACGCCATACTACATGTGAACTGTCCAATCCGGTGGCAGGAGGGCCGGAATACGACAATATGATTGGTCGTGTCATTGACAATCAATATTCCGGATAATACACGGCGTCCATTGGCTAGAAAGTCTGGTGTTGAGGCAAAGTTCAAGAGAAGGTGATGTGTCTTGGGTTTTGTATGGCTGTATCAATGGTGCGAAAAAGTTTTCCCGCATTTATCCGGATGTCACTTCAAAATAAGGGCAACCCAAACGTCACAAGTCAAAATGACGTCGGTTGAGATGACAAGCTTGACACGCAACGTGGACCGCAAGGTGTACACGCCCCTAGACGAGACGAAGCCCGCCGCCGCCGATCGCGCGTTGGTGGACATGATCGTGTCGTTGAAGGACTTGGTGGACCGCAACCTCCTGGCCAACAAGGACGTCGACTCGACCACCGACACCTTGACGCTTTTGTTAAGCATCAACGGGGTGCTGCGCGACGCCCGCGAGGCCATCGAGTCGCTGGTGGACAAGCAGTCGACCGACAAGTGGGTGATCTCGTTCGACGCGGAAACGTACGCGAAGAAGCTCATGTATGCCGAGAAGCAGTTTGAAGAGTTGCTTGAGGACGCCGTCAAGGCCGACGTAGCGGAGCTGCTGGTCCAACTGATCCGCCACGGCCTCCACGACGAAGCATCGTTGGTGCTTCTGTACGAACTCACGGCGGGGGGGTCTGTCGCCGTCCAAAACGCCTTGTACTATGCGATCATCGACGCGCAACCCGCCGTGCTGGCGTACCTCTTGACTCACTTGGAGAACGATTCCGCCAACATTGTGGCCATCTTGCAGCAGCTTTGCGTGTACCACCACAGCCAGTGGCAGGCGTTGATGCGCGTTCCCGCGGGTCCCGACCGTCCGTCCTTTCTCAACTTTATCCTCGCCAACATCGCGGCGGTGTCTGCCAAGTCGGACGTAGCCCACGTCATCTCATGGTTGGACTTTCTATGCGAAACGTGCCAGGGGCCGTCTGTGGAGAACCAGCTGCACATTGCCTCGTCGGACCAAGCCATCGCGGTCGTGCGGGACATTGTGCTGGACGTGATCGCGTTTGATTCCGCGTCCGACGCGCAGACGATCCGCGTCCAGCGCAGCGCCGCCGAAGTGCTGCTCACCCTCATGGAAGGCCGCGTGGACGGCGACGTCCACGTCCGTCTCGCGGCGCTGTTCCCTGTCGCGGCGGTGGTCGACAAGTTGCAGCTGCATTACCGAGCAATCCAACACAAGCTGTACTCGCCGAGCCGTCGGTCGCTCATGCAGCACACGCTCAGCTTAACCAAGAGCCTGCTGCACTCGTCGTCCAAGGACGAGCTGCAGCGCCATTTGCGCGAGTTCCGCGCCGCCATCAACCTCTTGCGCATTGTCACACATGTCTTGCACGACAAAACCACCGATGCGGACGCGACAGAGGCGGCCGCGTTTGAAACGTTTCGAACGGCCTGGCACGACGCGCTCGCCAACGGCAAAGTGCACACGGCCGTTCGGTTCTTCCAGGACCAGCTCGTGTCGATTGAAGTCGCGCGGAATGGCGCGACGTTCACGTCGTACTTTTTGCGGCCGGCCACGGCGCAGTACTTTAACGAGACGCTCCAGACCAAACTCATCGACGAGATGGACATTGGCAGTGAAGGCGCGTTGGACGTGCTCACGTCCGAAGTGGCCAAGTCCGTACACGTACTGTTTGGTTGATATTATTCACGGCGGTTGTGTTGTTGATGGCTAGGGACGTCGAAGAAGAGCTCGCGGTGATCCAAGGCCTCAACAAGACGCCATTCTACTCGATCATGAACAAGTGGCATGTATGGCTGCGCAAGAACATGCTCCGCCTTTGCTTTTACATCAACTTTGTCATGTTGCTGTGCGTTCGCGTCGATAACAGCACCATGGTGGACATCCACCAAGCCAACATGCGCTCGGTACGTACACTCTTGTGTTCTGAAAAGACCGACACTCTTTTACATCATTGTAGGGCTTGTGGGTCGTGGGGGCGTTAGGGTTTGTGTTGCTCGGGTTTTGCGCCGTGCTGTGGCTGTACCATGTCTTGACCACGTTTTGCTTTAACTATTGCAAGCAGCACGTGTCCCCGCTCAAGCTGTCGTTTACGACGTCGGCCGAGTACTGGACCAACACTCTGCACGCGTTTGCGCCGTTTGCTGTGTACCTTGGTACATACATTCTGTATTCTAGAATGTGAAGTTGGACGACTTACGGTGTCGCATGTGTGTTGTTATGTATAGTTTCGGTGGCGTGATTTATATACTGTCAACGAGGATATGTGGATATGTATGTCTCTATATTTACGCTATCGTTTCAGACTTGATTGGCATGGAAGAGTAATTCTTAGTATATATATATATATATATAATACATACACCAGTACTCGTACAATATCTATATATAGACGCTCTTGTATATCATCTGCGTGGATCGTTGTCGTGAAGTATATATATATATTGCTGCTGTGCCTAAAGCATGGTTCATACTATATCTCTTTTGACCTCGAAACTAACCGTTGAAACTCTATATTTTATTGTAGAGTTCTTTGTCGCAATCTTTGTCGTGATATTCTACATGGACATGGTGACAACGACCACCAAGATCCTTGCGGCGGGGTCGTTCATGTGGCTGTTTGGGGCGTTCCTGCAGGGCGTGCGCCATGCCAGCGGGCTCTTTCGCTTCACAGTCAACACGGACAAGGCGGCGGCGTCCAACGTCGTGCTCAACTTCGTGTCCTTCTGGTACAACGTCGTGTACGACACGCTCTTGTCAGGCAGCGTCATCACGTTCGGCGCGTACACGCTGTGCGCGATTTGCGGGCTCGGGCTGTCCATCCCGGCTGTGACACAGTACTTTGACGCGGGGCCGTGGGGGCTCATGTTCTTTGGGTTTCCGCTCGTGGACATTCTCGCCACGAACGAGCAGCTGCGGTTTATTGTACGTGATGATTATGACGATGAAAACTTACTCGGTCGAGTTGTATGTATGGATGGTTCGACTATATATGATGTCAAAAGGGGTGTATAGATGTATATATATGTTTCGTTGTTTTGATTGATTCTATATATATATATATATACATATAGGCGAAGGGATGTAGATGTATATAGTTCGTACTTTATTACTAGTATGATTATTTATATTGTGCTTTCGAGTGAAATTTCGTGTTGTGGCGTGGTTTCTCGTTGGAATTTAAATCGATTTGATTGGCTACTTCAGATGAGCTAAAAATTTTAACCAATCAAAACCTTCTAAATGAAATTCAACCAATCAGATCGATTTGGTCGGCGCGATTCGATTACACCCCCTCCCCAAATTTGTATCAAATCGACAATATATAGAATATAAATGTTTCGAAGTTTAGTATGAATATCTATCTATATCTATAAAAATGTATCGTAGTTGTTAGTAGGATTATATATGTGACGGCACTATATTCCATCGAGTGATGAGTAGTAGTAAGTAGTCGTAGTATATGTACTGTAACCATGTTTCGATGTCACTAAAATGACACTATTTTTGGTCTATTGTTACCCTATTTCTGTTGCGTATAGGCGACGGCGATGCACTCGAACATGGGCAAATTGGGCGTCACGGCAGTGTTTGGGGCGATTATGATTTACATTTTCTCGCTCGTGGGATTCTTCCTGCTGCAAGCCGAGCTCGAAAGCGAAGACCACACCGTGAGCCACTGCTCGACATTGCTGCAATGCTACACAACGTACATTCGCTACGGTAACGATATTACTTGCACCACCACCTGATGATATATCACCATCATTGCATCCCACGCACGTTTATGCGTCTTCTACAGGGTTGCTGTCGGGCGGCGGCATTGGCGACTACATTTCGTCGACGCTCAACCACGAGCTCGAGTTTGACAACCCCGAACGATACTTTGAGCGGCTGGTGTACGACATGGCGTTCTTCGTGGTCGTGATCACGCTGTTCCTCAACATGATCCAAGGGATCATCATCGATGCGTTTACGTCCGTGCGCGAGCAGACCGAGACCAAGGCCGCGCTGAAACGCGAGCGCTGCTTGGTGTGCAACCGGTCGCGCAGCGCCATCGAGTTGGAAGGCGTCGAGAGCGGTCTCCTCAACAACTTTGCCAGACACACCCAGGACGAGCACAACTTTTTCCACTACTTCTTCTACATCCAACACGTCACAGCCAAGGACCCGAAGGACCTCAACGGCATCGAAAGCTACGTCGTGGACAAGCTCAAGACCCAGGACATGACGTGGATCCCTCGCGTGTAGGTAGTTTGCGCACTTGCACCAATTGTGTGTAAAGTGTACCGAGAATACTTTGAATCGAAGTAACTACTTGTGCTGCCTGTGGATTCGGTACTACTTACTGTAGTACTCGAGTACCTAGTACTGTATAGCACTGATTGTACAATACTACTACTAGTACTCGTAGTAAGTAGTACTATTAATAGTACTCTGGAGTACCGGTACGTACTACTAGTACTATTAATAATATCCGGAATATTTTACTCTATTTAGGATATGACCTAATATATTCATGTTGGATGACGTTGGGATACTGTTGGATGACGCAGGATACTTCTATTAATATCACGGATATTTGAAATCCATATATTGTACTTCGAATTACTACGTACAATAGTTTGTATGTACTCGTAGTACTTTGAAGTGGCATCACAGTTGCAACTCCAGCCTTTCAGGCCTACAACACGTGAAACTTTCCGTTGTGGCCAATTCAGTTGCTTTATGGCAGACACACCGATGATACTAACCACAGGGCTACTGGAGCGAGCACAGCCATGGACACCAGGCAACGTTATGATTGGCGATGTATTCTATCAAGCAATGATGGGGGGATAATCCATCCGTGTGTCCTATTGTTTACCTATCGACCCAAGTAGTACAATCAAAACACTTAAACTTTCAGAAGTAGGGGGACCTCGACCGTCAAGTCGGCGGGGGCGTCGGGGTACAGCACGTAGTGCTGGGTAATAAAGATCACGTCGAAGAAGACGCTGGTGAACCCGAGCCCAAACTTGACGGGGTCGCCCGTGATGGCTGTCCAGTCGTTCGTGACGGAGCTGGTGAGGATGATCTGGGCCATCGACAGGATGCCGCCGCTGAAGTCCAACAGGACATTCCAGATGGTCCATCCCACGGTCGATTTGCGCTGGTAGTTCAAGATCACTTGGGGAATGTACTTGACAAGCGACACGCCAAGCTTGACGTAGCTGAGGAGGTAGAGGAAGTTGAGGGTGGAGAACCATTCGTTCGACACGACGAAGCCCAGCAGGAAGAAGAGCCCACTTGCGACGACCGACACCCCCACCACACTCTTGCACAGCCCGGACGTGACTTGGGCCCCGCGGGTGTAGATCGTGGATTGGTAGTACGTGAGCAGCGTCACAAACACAGCATGTAGGGCGAAGAACACGTCGTTCACTTGGACAGCGTTCGGGTTGCCGTCGTGGTGCTTCTTGTACTCGTCTTGCACGGCATCGCTCCAGAAGAACGCCGCGTTGAAGACTGCATAACACACAAAGCCAAGGATGTTGTACACCAAAAAGTCCAAGGACAAGCCCACTACGCTTTGGCGGCGCCAGTTCAAAAATACCTGGGGCCAAAAACTCACGCTCCAGCACGCAAAGTAGACCCACCCGATCACGGACGAGATGCGGTTGTATGGTTGGGGGATGTTGTCGGTGGAATCGGTGGCAAAGCCGAGGCCGACCCCTGTCACGGCAATCACAGCCACCCCTACGACGAAGCCATGTGTCTCAACCCAGTCCACTGCCTTGGTGAATGCGTCCTTGGTCGTCATGTGTGTCGAGCGTGGCAAATTGCAATGTGGGTCACAGAACGAGTAGGAAGATCCACCCAAATCGGAAAGGTGACCATGTAGCCAATCAAAACGTCGAATGGGATTGGGTCACGTCGGACCTTAAACATCTGGAGAGAGTGGCAGGAATATAGTAGTACTACGAGACCATTTTTCCTTCAAGTTCAGGTTTCTGTCGGTATATTTTATCCGTTATCCCTCATCTGTCACCTGTGTTCGATGTATTTCGTCCAGACCCTACTAGTACTTGGACTAGTATGACAGATATCCGGTATATGTCACAGGCGGCCGGTATATTTGACAGGCTGTTCAATCCTTATATGTACCGGTACAGTATACTAGGGTATATTGTGCTTTTCAGTCAAATTTGCCTATTTTGGGATTGATGAAATACGCCAACTAATCGAGCAAACGAGTAGTATGATTCTCTACAAAGAATGAAGGTTGCAATTTTATTGGCTAAAAAGATTGATTGATGCATTGCAGTCACCTCTTCAACTCAGTTTTATACGAAATTTCGAAGGTCCGGCGATTGTTCGGTGGTGATTCAACCAATCGCCGGAGGAAATTATAAGTAGAACCCACAGTTAGTTACCTGCCGTGGGAGATTAGTCATACAGTATTGAACAGCCTGTCAAATGACAGATATCCGGTATATGTCATACTACTACTAGTACTAGTAGTAAATTGTTAAAACCAAGTAGGGTCTGGACGAAATATATCGAACACCAGGCGACAGATAACGCAAAAGGGGTGAATCAGTTCTGTGTACACGGGGAAAAATTAACACTGTAAAACTGTAAAGGAAAAATGGTATAATTACCGGTAGTTAGTACTCGCATTAAGCCTGACCTTCCAACTGACTGTGGAAACTACTACCGGGTAGTATAGTACTAATAGTATGGTAGTACTCCTTGTATGGTAGTTCCCACATATGTACTTCCAAGGACTACTGTACGTAGTACTCGGAGTACTACGTAGTAGTATCTATATGAGGGATCAATTTTGGTGACGAATTCTACAGTGCAATTCCCTAATTGGAGTAGGTTCAATTCTGCTACGTCCATCGTCGAGCCACCTGGCCAATTTCCAATGGCGTGTTTCGCTTGCTGTAGCTGAGAGGGTACGTACGAGGAATCGTCTCGTAACTAGAGAATACGGTCCAGATTGCTCTACTTCACTTGCTTCTATTTACGATGCATTGAATATACATAATTACAAGTAGGGAATTTCATTGGATTGTTTTTACGTGCGAAACTTCATCTACTGTATTGCAATTGGTACCCACATATTTATACTGCAAAGTGAACAAAGCAACATTGCTTTCGGCGACCTGCAAAGTGCCATTCAATGGTTTTCAGCTACCAGTTACTGTATCGCAGCTAATGCAGAGCTCGATGAACTACCAGGTACCAGGTCCCTGTCAAAGCAGTTGCAAACCACGTGTCAATGCCTTTTGAGATTTCGTTTTGAATTGCAATGCACTTCACGCAGGTATGTAGTCCGCCAGTTCATTCCGAGGTGTACATCAGGTCATTCTGAACGTCGTTCTGGTGTGGATAATGGTCGTCCAAACTATTATAGTACAATTCCTCATTAAAACAGTATCACAGTTGTGTAGACCCGAAATACTGTTTCAATGAGGTTTATATGGAACTTTGTATGGACAGACCACCTCTTACTAGGGGATAACTGTAAGTGCATCTCAGTAGTTAGCGATAGCTAACCACTAGCGATGCAGTTAACCTCGGAGATTTAGCATCGTATGTACTTACCGGGGGTACTGTAGGACGGAGTCCCAGGTTACAGGGTTACTGGCGAAAAGGTGTATCCGGATGTAATAATTCCCTCATTGAAACAGTATTTTGGGTCAAAACAACAGTGGTACAGTTTAATGAGGGAATTATACTCCAAAACTGTACGTACGTACGGGTACTGTAGTGGTAAGCTCCACTTGATAATACTGTACTGTGGGTACGCAGTTTGAACGAATCCGAACGTTGGATTAAGGCTATTAAACTGACTTCAACTTGCTAAAGGACTCGAAACTCCCTGCCTCCCATTGATATATTCGATTCCACAGCGTATGCCTTAAGCTTAATACAAGATCGGGCGGCCCAATTCCAACTCAATTATCCCCAACGGCAAAGCGAACAACGTCATTTCAAAGGTGGATGTGTCGTGTATTACTTTTATACGCATCGTAAGAAAGTTGCGTGTTCAAGCATTGCGGGCTTTGAACGCTTGGTACTGCGGCTCTTTAGTGATCGCGTTGGGCTTCAATGTCGCCGCCGCGATACGGTGGGAGCGGAAGGCAGCGCCATCTTGTTCCGACCGCAAGTTCAATTGGAGACGCTTTTCCCGACTGATCAACACGTCCGGGCTCACGGACAAGAATCGCACGCCTCCTACCACGGCCATGGCGCCAGCGAATCCCAGGATGGCAATGATGGGATACGTAGCAGGGTCCGAGAACCAAGCCTTGGCAGTTGTGCGGGCGGCGCGAGAAGCCATGACGACGATGCTGAGGTGCTTGCTGGTGGTTAGATTTCGGAATGACTTGATTTTCTTCAAGATCTTGTTGAAGTTCCAAACACAAAGGCACGACAGTGACGGTTCATGGAACTTTTTGATAAAATGGTCCAATCACATCAAACTTCAACTGGCCAAACTGTTTGGTCAGTAATACTACGTAGTAATTGGGTGTAAGTCGTTCTATTTCTACCAATCACGTAGTTCAAAGTTTACTAACTTGCTCTTAGTGAAGATGGCCAGTTTATACAGTTAACAGTTAAGGTGCACTCAAATTGGCCAATGGAATAACGTTAGCTTGACACCAACGCTACAGTGCAACTGTTGCCGTGTCAACTTCATTGCAAGGACTTGACTGTGAACATCTTAAGCTACACAACATATGGCCGTACGTACCGACAAGTTGGCTACGTGGGGGTGCTGAATGGCACGTGAGTTAGGAGCTAGCCTACACCTGTTAGACACAGAATTGTTGGACCTAGAGCACGGTCAGCTTTTCCTGAGTTCTCCTTAGGACTACCCCGTGTGCTAGAAACTACTGTACCCTACACGGGTTAGCCGCCACATTACCGCCTGACCTTTCGCCTACTTCGACCGCCAGATTTCCCATGAGATCTCGATGGGGCTACGACGCTTAGCCGGCCATGGCTCCATCCCTTGGACATGGCCACTGAGCTGCGTAGGTGCTAAAACAAACTTGAGCTATATTCAGACACAAATCCGTGCAGGCGCATGCCCAATAAATTCAAACTTAGTCTACTGTCCTATGGAGCTGGAAACCTAGAGGTTGCGCGTCTTGAACGCTTGATATGCGGTCTCGCGAGTGATCGGGTTCAGCTTGAGCGTGGCCGCGGTGATACGGTGGGACCGGAACGCAGCGCCGTCTTCCGACGAGCGCAAGTCAATGTGGGACCGCTTCTCCTTGCTGAAGGCCACGTCCGGGCTCGCCGTCAAGTACCGCACGCCTTCGAAGGTGGCCATGGAGCCCGCAAACACCATGATGCCAATGATGGGGTACGTCGCAGGGTCGGAGAACCAAGTTTGGGCGGCGCTACGGGCGATGCGGGAAGCCATGATGCACTGCTGTTTCTTGGTGGAGTGGTGAGTTCAATTATGGACTTAGGTTGGTCTCGCATTTCACGCGAAAAGACACGCACAAGAAAGTTTGATTGGCTCGTGGACTGGGGCATAGACAAGCGGACCAATCAGATCACCTCACATCATATCGGACACTTTGTGCAGGTTCTATAACGTCACTTCGAGTCTAAAGCCCAGCGTTATGGCACCACCGGAGTATAATCCTGTTGGAGGCCTCGCTTTTGCTACTTGTGTGTCGAGCCCCAATGTGCGACGAGGTGCTTAGCCGACTGGTATATAACTTTGCTACGTTGGGGTATCTGGTGCGATGGAATGGCAGGTGTGTTAGACGCTAGCCTACACCTGTTAGGCGCCACATTATCGCCTGACCTTTCGCCTACTTCTGACCGCCAGATTTCCCATGAGATCTCGATGGGGCTACTACGCTTAGCCGACCATGGCTCCATCCCTTGGACATGGCCACTGAGCTGCGTAGGTGCTAAAACAAACTTGAGCTATATTCAGACACAAATCCGTGCAGGCGCATGCCCAATAAATTCAAACTTAGTCTACTGTCCTATGGAGCTGGAAACCTAGAGGTTGCGCGTCTTGAACGCTTGATATGCGGTCTCGCGAGTGATCGGGTTCAGCTTGAGCGTGGCCGCGGTGATACGGTGGGACCGGAACGCAGCGCCGTCTTCCGACGAGCGCAAGTCAATGTGGGACCGCTTCTCCTTGCTGAAGGCCACGTCCGGGCTCGCCGTCAAGTACCGCACGCCTTCGAAGGTGGCCATGGAGCCCGCAAACACCATGATGCCAATGATGGGGTACGTCGCAGGGTCGGAGAACCAAGTTTGGGCGGCGCTACGGGCGATGCGGGAAGCCATGATGCACTGCTGTTTCTTGGTGGAGTGGTGAGTTCAATTATGGACTTAGGTTGGTCTCGCATTTCACGCGAAAAGACACGCACAAGAAAGTTTGATTGGCTCGTGGACTGGGGCATAGACAAGCGGACCAATCAGATCACCTCACATCATATCGGACACTTTGTGCAGGTTCTATAACGTCACTTCGAGTCTAAAGCCCAGCGTTATGGCACCACCGGAGTATAATCCTGTTGGAGGCCTCGCTTTTGCTACTTGTGTGTCGAGCCCCAATGTGCGACGAGGTGCTTAGCCGACTGGTATATAACTTTGCTACGTTGGGGTATCTGGTGCGATGGAATGGCAGGTGTGTTAGACGCTAGCCTACACCTGTTAGCCGCCACATTATCGCCTGACCTTTCGCCTACTTCTGACCGCCAGATTTCCCATGAGATCTCGATGGGGCTACTACGCTTAGCCGACCATGGCTCCATCCCTTGGACATGGCCACTGAGCTGCGTAGGTGCTAAAACAAACTTGAGCTATATTCAGACACAAATCCGTGCAGGCGCATGCCCAATAAATTCAAACTTAGTCTACTGTCCTATGGAGCTGGAAACCTAGAGGTTGCGCGTCTTGAACGCTTGATATGCGGTCTCGCGAGTGATCGGGTTCAGCTTGAGCGTGGCCGCGGTGATACGGTGGGACCGGAACGCAGCGCCGTCTTCCGACGAGCGCAAGTCAATGTGGGACCGCTTCTCCTTGCTGAAGGCCACGTCCGGGCTCGCCGTCAAGTACCGCACGCCTTCGAAGGTGGCCATGGAGCCCGCAAACACCATGATGCCAATGATGGGGTACGTCGCAGGGTCGGAGAACCAAGTTTGGGCGGCGCTACGGGCGATGCGGGAAGCCATGATGCACTGCTGTTTCTTGGTGGAGTGGTGAGTTCAATTATGGACTTAGGTTGGTCTCGCATTTCACGCGAAAAGACACGCACAAGAAAGTTTGATTGGCTCGTGGACTGGGGCATAGACAAGCGGACCAATCAGATCACCTCACATCATATCGGACACTTTGTGCAGGTTCTATAACGTCACTTCGAGTCTAAAGCCCAGCGTTATGGCACCACCGGAGTATAATCCTGTTGGAGGCCTCGCTTTTGCTACTTGTGTGTCGAGCCCCAATGTGCGACGAGGTGCTTAGCCGACTGGTATATAACTTTGCTACGTTGGGGTATCTGGTGCGATGGAATGGCAGGTGTGTTAGACGCTAGCCTACACCTGTTAGGCGCCACATTATCGCCTGACCTTTCGCCTACTTCTGACCGCCAGATTTCCCATGAGATCTCGATGGGGCTACTACGCTTAGCCGACCATGGCTCCATCCCTTGGACATGGCCACTGAGCTGCGTAGGTGCTAAAACAAACTTGAGCTATATTCAGACACAAATCCGTGCAGGCGCATGCCCAATAAATTCAAACTTAGTCTACTGTCCTATGGAGCTGGAAACCTAGAGGTTGCGCGTCTTGAACGCTTGATATGCGGTCTCGCGAGTGATCGGGTTCAGCTTGAGCGTGGCCGCGGTGATACGGTGGGACCGGAACGCAGCGCCGTCTTCCGACGAGCGCAAGTCAATGTGGGACCGCTTCTCCTTGCTGAAGGCCACGTCCGGGCTCGCCGTCAAGTACCGCACGCCTTCGAAGGTGGCCATGGAGCCCGCAAACACCATGATGCCAATGATGGGGTACGTCGCAGGGTCGGAGAACCAAGTTTGGGCGGCGCTACGGGCGATGCGGGAAGCCATGATGCACTGCTGTTTCTTGGTGGAGTGGTGAGTTCAATTATGGACTTAGGTTGGTCTCGCATTTCACGCGAAAAGACACGCACAAGAAAGTTTGATTGGCTCGTGGACTGGGGCATAGACAAGCGGACCAATCAGATCACCTCACATCATATCGGACACTTTGTGCAGGTTCTATAACGTCACTTCGAGTCTAAAGCCCAGCGTTATGGCACCACCGGAGTATAATCCTGTTGGAGGCCTCGCTTTTGCTACTTGTGTGTCGAGCCCCAATGTGCGACGAGGTGCTTAGCCGACTGGTATATAACTTTGCTACGTTGGGGTATCTGGTGCGATGGAATGGCAGGTGTGTTAGACGCTAGCCTACACCTGTTAGGCGCCACATTATCGCCTGACCTTTCGCCTACTTCTGACCGCCAGATTTCCCATGAGATCTCGATGGGGCTACTACGCTTAGCCGACCATGGCTCCATCCCTTGGACATGGCCACTGAGCTGCGTAGGTGCTAAAACAAACTTGAGCTATATTCAGACACAAATCCGTGCAGGCGCATGCCCAATAAATTCAAACTTAGTCTACTGTCCTATGGAGCTGGAAACCTAGAGGTTGCGCGTCTTGAACGCTTGATATGCGGTCTCGCGAGTGATCGGGTTCAGCTTGAGCGTGGCCGCGGTGATACGGTGGGACCGGAACGCAGCGCCGTCTTCCGACGAGCGCAAGTCAATGTGGGACCGCTTCTCCTTGCTGAAGGCCACGTCCGGGCTCGCCGTCAAGTACCGCACGCCTTCGAAGGTGGCCATGGAGCCCGCAAACACCATGATGCCAATGATGGGGTACGTCGCAGGGTCGGAGAACCAAGTTTGGGCGGCGCTACGGGCGATGCGGGAAGCCATGATGCACTGCTGTTTCTTGGTGGAGTGGTGAGTTCAATTATGGACTTAGGTTGGTCTCGCATTTCACGCGAAAAGACACGCACAAGAAAGTTTGATTGGCTCGTGGACTGGGGCATAGACAAGCGGACCAATCAGATCACCTCACATCATATCGGACACTTTGTGCAGGTTCTATAACGTCACTTCGAGTCTAAAGCCCAGCGTTATGGCACCACCGGAGTATAATCCTGTTGGAGGCCTCGCTTTTGCTACTTGTGTGTCGAGCCCCAATGTGCGACGAGGTGCTTAGCCGACTGGTATATAACTTTGCTACGTTGGGGTATCTGGTGCGATGGAATGGCAGGTGTGTTAGACGCTAGCCTACACCTGTTAGGCGCCACATTATCGCCTGACCTTTCGCCTACTTCTGACCGCCAGATTTCCCATGAGATCTCGATGGGGCTACTACGCTTAGCCGACCATGGCTCCATCCCTTGGACATGGCCACTGAGCTGCGTAGGTGCTAAAACAAACTTGAGCTATATTCAGACACAAATCCGTGCAGGCGCATGCCCAATAAATTCAAACTTAGTCTACTGTCCTATGGAGCTGGAAACCTAGAGGTTGCGCGTCTTGAACGCTTGATATGCGGTCTCGCGAGTGATCGGGTTCAGCTTGAGCGTGGCCGCGGTGATACGGTGGGACCGGAACGCAGCGCCGTCTTCCGACGAGCGCAAGTCAATGTGGGACCGCTTCTCCTTGCTGAAGGCCACGTCCGGGCTCGCCGTCAAGTACCGCACGCCTTCGAAGGTGGCCATGGAGCCCGCAAACA